AATGAGAGCAGGGTTGGCCAGTTTGCTTTGGAGCAGGGGAGGGAATTATTATTCGGTGTCCTTTTGGACAAGGCCAGTTATGCCAGTTTATGATTAGAACCAAGCAGAGACCAGTGCCGTCCATGTTCAACCAACCCAATGTAAAGAAAAACAACTCTACATATGGCCTTATAGCTTCCCCTCCTCGCACGCTCGTGCGCTTACAACGTAATGCTCCATTCACAACTTCTAATCTGAAGAACGCTCTTGGTCTCAAGAACGGGCAACTCCAAACTGCTGTCGAGTGAGAGCCGGGAAGTCAACCATGAAATCCAAGTTAACTTCTCTCGCCATGTTCTTGACGTTTCAATCGAGCCTTTGGTAATCTGGCAGGCATGGCCCGGATTCTCTCTGAAGGAAGGGCTTCAAAAGTGCAGCCAGCCGTGTGGGCACCGAAAAGGCCAAGGCGTTGAAACAATCCCCGCCTCTTCTTCCTGCAGCATCTTCTGCGCATCCAAGGCGATCTGGGCGGAAACTGTTGCCGTGAACCTAATATGTATGTTTTTATTCTTTTTATGTTTATTTTATTTTTTTTATTAATTATCGCTATTATTATTACTGTTACTGTTATTATCAGTAGTATCATTATTAATATTATTACTTTAAACTGCTTCCACTGCTCTCCAACCAGGGCACAAACCGGAGTAGCAAGCCTGGAGACCCTGCTCATTCCCCCCTAAGAACTGGCCAACCTCAAACTTCCAGAGCACAACATGCTCGGCAAGCAAGAGCCACAACCAATGAACCTAGCAACAAGCAATGGGCCTTCAATCATGCAGCTGCCATGCTGCCCTTCAAGTGCAGCCTGGCTATGTGCTCAAGCTTCAAGCTTCTAGATTCTCGTGGTTCCGCTTGCCCTTTCTATATCCCAATGGTTCTTTAGCCTGCGCGTTCAAGCTTCAAGTTCCGGATTCTCGTGGTTCCGCTTCTCCTTTTGTATTTTCCAATGGTAAGTTCTGTCCAACAAGCGCTGGAATGCCTTGACCCAAGTTCCACCGGCATGAAGGTTGCACAAAAGGATGTGGGATAACATGGGATGTAGCAAGTTCCCCCCTTCCACCCAATCAGACCCTAGTTGGACTGGACATTCACCAAGGCACGTTCTTTTTAAACGCCGCGATCTTCTCCGCGGCTTCCTCCGCCGCTCGCTTGGCAATAGCCTGGCAGGGTATTGTCCCGGGCTCCAGGCTCGGCCACACGTTCACTACAACTTGCGGTGAGTATGTTGAACATGTTATGAATGTCCAAACAAAACAAACACGTCCAACCCAAACAGACACGTCTCAAATCCCAGCCTCTGGCGTATTGTTCTTCTCTCGCTCTTTGCGCTCCTGCCGTCAATGTCACATCAAGAACAGCCGGCTTCAAGCGCTAGACTTTACAAATCGCTCCTGCCAAATAACCATAGATTGTGTATGCAGTATGGACACGTCTGGACAGGGCTCGTAGCTGCAGCTTTTCTAACACGGGCGTGGGTGTGCTCGCCAAGCGCTTGTAGCGGCAAACAACCTTGGTATACATCCGAACGCGCCGCTTCGACTACTGGCAGGTTTACTTTTGCCGACAAAAGTCACAGCCAGATTGGCTGCTCAGCGATCAGGTCAATGATTCATTTCAATCCGTTTTTGAGATGCAGCACGGAAATCAAAGAGGACGTTCATTTTGCAACAGTTCATTGATTTGATGACACTCATCGCAAAAGGCACCTTTAGACCTTTAGAGACTGCTGCTGAGGGCAAGGCACAAGCACAATGCTACATTTAGACTCTAGGATTTCAGGCTGCTTTGCAAACCCTAGCAAGGAAGTGAAGAAAGGCAAAGCCACTCTAGAACCGAGAGGCAACCGATATGATGCCTGGCCCAGCAGTCCTTGATGAGTTCCTCGATGGTTTTCTTCTTCTCAGGAGGCCTCTGCCATGGTCCACAAGTAGGCCCCACATTGTGTGTGTAAGCGGTGAATGCCACTAATACCCACGGAGTCACGTCCTGAACCTCAAGCCCTGGACCACACCCGCCGAGAATCCGAGAGTGTTCTGCGCGAAAGGCCCCTTTGGGACATGCGAGTCTGATCACACCCTGGGCTATCCGACTTGGATGGGCTCCTCTTTCTCGACTCGCTCTTGCGCTTAGACCTGCTGGGGCTCTTGCGCCTGGCGGGGTGTGCCAAACTCCTGGGATTTAAGCTGGGGCAGTCCTTAGTGCTATGAATCATGAAGGAAGCCAGTGCACTCTGAAGGACTGCTTTCTTGCCAAATGCAGCTTCTGATAGAAATAGTTCCCTGGCACCTCCTGGCAAGCAACCAGGCTGTACAGACAAAACAGGCTTGCTGTTGAGCCAATACAAAAAGTGTTGGCTGAGAGTGAGTGCCACACATCTGTCAGTGTCTCAGCTGGATTGTCAGCTGTCCTTGTCATCTGGGCTGACTCTCTACTTGTCGCAGTGGGTTGAAGGTGAATGATCCACAAATGCTGGCCACTGAGAGATGTATGCCAATCATGGCGAGTGAAAACAGCTGCAAACAACACTAATATCCACCAGCAGAACGGCGTGTCATGCGTGTCATGTCCTCTTCATTTGGCAAGCTGTCAGTTCTACCGTGCTGGACTGCTCAACGCCCTGATTCCCAAACAAAATTTGAACGCGCACATAGCGTGAGGGCAGTGCAATACGAACTGATGCTGTCAACCACATTCATTTGGGCTGTGCTAAACTAGGGGAACCCAACAAATGTAGTGCTCTTGTTGGTTCACCCTAAATCACACCAACAGTGGTGTGGCCCGGTCAAAAACACGCGCACACATGTCAATTTGCTCTTTCCCCTGTTCCTACAAGGCATCTTGGCAACCCCAAACGCCTGCTTCGACTCCGGCGGCGTGAGGGGCTCCTTGGTAAGACGTTGGCAAGGCGAGGGCCCATGGGCCGTGATGCAAAGTGTTGATCGCAAATGAGTCATCCACTTGGTACACCTGTGGGATTGAGATATCTTCATTGCCTTCTACTGGGTTTACGACGGGAAGCAGAAGGTGGAAGGTGGTCAAGGTCAAGCAGTCAGGAGATCAAACACTATCTGCGGAAGTATTCGGCTACTTGCTGCTCCCTTTCATTGTGGGGAAAGCACCTGGCTGCATGCAACGCTTCCCGATGCATCTGCCACCTGTACTGCGGAGAAAAGGCCTTTTCCAAGCTTGTCTCGGCAATAGTTGTTTCCCGCTTGCGGGCAAGCCCCTTTCGCCTGACAGGGGCAACAACGATCAAACGCCGTGAATGTCAAGCGAGCAAGTGGGGGAGCTGCGATGAGGGTCATTCGCTTTGGAGGCCTGCGCCTCAAGAACTAGACCCAAGGTGCACAAACAAGGTTGCAGGGGCGCTTCCAAATCTGCACCTCCCCACATCTGCACGGGTTCGGAAGTGAGTTGCCTCAAATTGCTACCAGCCCGAGCGAATCTAGCAAGTCCACAGTCCATACAAGTTCTCGTGTGCTTAATGCTCCAGCTTGCATGTCGCCTGGCCTGCGCGGAGTGGGCGAGCGTCGCCGCTTGGGGGTCGGCGAGCGGCGCCGCTTTGGGGTCGGCGAGCGTCGACCGCGCCGGCGGCTGGGTGAGCGGCGCCTCAGAGAAAAAACATCGTAGCCCTATGAGTCTTTGGGATAGGAATCAGGGTGTTTGCCATTTGAGTACATGTGTGTGATTCCCTGGCCCACAGGTTTGCAAACTTCCAGGGGGCACTGGCTGGTGTCATAAGAGCAAACTCCTGCTATCGCAAAGCTTTGACATGACCACATTCTGTGGCCAAGCCCCGCAGAAAGGGGATTAGGCGCATGCATGAGAGCACAAATGCCTTCTTTACACTTCCTGCAATGGTCTTCCTCCACAGCTACTCCAATTCTGACAGCAGCCAACCCCCGAACAAAGCCATGCTTCATCATTGATGAGGCGCCGATTTTCCGCAGCCTTGGCGCCCTGCCCTTTCAAAGCTTACATGCTTGCCAGAGTCATTGGACACCGACAGTCGCAACATGGGCAGTTGCCAAAATCACGGGCCCCGTATGTTGAAACATGTCCTTTGGGTATCGCCAATGCAACATGTCGCTTCCCTACATCCCCGTGTCGCTTTCCTGAGGAGATACCCCGATCGAATCGCCTCCTGGAAGGGCTCCGCCGCCGGTCCCTGCGAAAATAAGATGGAGGGGAAGCAATTGAAAACACTAAAAAATATACAAATATATACTAATACGCTAGTATGTACGAGTATCTGATTCTTTTTGGGCCCCTGATTTGCTTGCGTTGGGCGAAATGCAAAGATATCAACAAATCAGGCCGGTTCACAAAGCAGAGTCGCACCTTGGTCACATCAAGACGCCTTGGGAGAGGACGACGCCGCTGATGTACTGTGGATGCCATGCGATTTGGACCCGATGCCGGTGTCAGGTTGGACCAGGCTGTTAGTTAAACATTGCTCAGTGCCGCATGCAGCTGCTTGCCCCGCAAACTCATCTCCAGCCTGGATCTAGAGCGCGAGCGAGCCATTGGGCATCAACACCAAGGCGACTCTGCGCGTCTTAGCTAAACCGGTGCGAGTAGCTCAGAACTGTGGAGGAACGGTGGTGGTACAGCGGTGAAGTAAGACGGGTATCACTCCAGGACTGAAGCTGCCACATGGCAAGTCTGATTGCTGTGACCTACATTGTGTTTGTGGCAGCGCAATTGTCTGCTTTGACATGCTGAGTGGAAGGCGCTGAATGCGAGCCAAAATGGTTTCTTCGGCCAGTAGCAGTTGTTGGCTATCCTCGCCTAACATGTTGATTTGCAACGACAAAGGCCAACTATACTGAAAAGCTCTATCCCGCAACAGCCTGACACAACAAAACACTTCTCTCAGTTCCTGAGACTCAGAGTGGAGAATTCGATCGTGCGAAAGTTGCCCAGTACTTAGAATTCCTGTTCACCTAGATGATTCCCGCCTCGCTGCTCGAATCCTGGCGGGCATATGGGGGCCTGCTTCAGCTTCTGCCTCCATCGGAATCAACTGACACGGTAATTCACACAAGCCTGCAGCTCCCTGCCTAGCACATCCAACAATATCCAACCGAATTAGCATACCATTCCATGCTGCCGGACGGCGAGGCAGATTCTCGTAATTCTGAGTCGGAGTTGTATCCATCATGAGTTCTCCGTCAAGGGGCCAATCAATTCAAACTGCAGGCAGTGGCACCTCCACCTCTTGAAGCATGCCCCCAAGTGCAATCAGATTTCCCAGCAGGGATTAGGTTGGCTCGTTCGCCCCGGTGCCGAACAATGGGATTGCAAGCCTGCGGCCGCTTGGCTGTGCTGCTTCAACCAAAGCTGTGAGGCGCATCTGCCTTCCGGCCCTTCATCGCTGCTCGCGCTGCAGACCTCAGAAGCCAAGCCTTCCAAAAGGACTGGGCGCGGCTCATCCGGTAGGATGTCAGGTGAAGTGTGTTTTGTTTGTCCAAAAACGCGCTAGCAACGCACCCCGCGATAGCAAAGGTGAAGGGTTCTCAAAATGGATGGGTCTCAAAATAGAGGATCCACAAAGGATTTATTGAACCTTGCCTTTTCATGTCCATCTCAATGGCAGGAGGCAGGAGTCCCAGGAGGCGTTCTAGACCTCTCCCTCTCTCTCAGTCTCTCGCGCTCTCTATGCTATGTTTCATTCTTTGTCCTGATCGATGCCAGCACGCGGTGGACCAAAGCATGTTTGTCTCTCGCTCTCTCTCTCTCTCTTTCTCTCTCTCTCTCTCTCTCTCTTGCCATCGAAAGTCCCGTCCGAGAAGCTGCGCATTGCGCATGAGGGCATATACTGCAAAATAACACTAAAACCCAACCACGAATCCAATCTAATGTTGAGTGCAACGATTCTTCAACTCTGGCAAGGCTGTTCCTGTTGAGATTTTGCTTGCCGCTAGACCTTGAGGGACATGCCTTTGCATGACGTTCTACCTTTCTGGATAGGTGCCGTGTTGACCCCATTGTAATGGTGTTTAACCCCGGTGGAACGCAAAACTATTGTGTTATCCCATTGTCTACCTCCAACTGCATCGCGGCTGTGTGGCATGCGCGTTCAACCCGAGCCACCGGGCTGCCGTGCCTGTGATGCCCTGGCTGCAGTATGTTGAGCTGAGGGCATAGCACAAAGCGAGGAACGCAACGAGTTGAGCTTTGCATTTCTTGTCATCGACCCCGACTGAAGCAAAGCCGCTGAGAAGGGGCTGTGGGATTCCGTTTTTGGCAACCGAGTCCTGTCGGGCTGCCCCAGCCTGCCGTGCATCTCCGACGACACCTGTGCGCTATGTCGCAACAACCGAACCTTGCCTGTGCGGCTTGACAAATAAACTGGTGTCTCACAGAGTGCTGGTGAGCACCCCTCAGCACAACTGATGAAACAAAACGTGGTTGTCGCATTTCAAGGAGAATTCTGCTGAATGGCTGTCTCAAAGCAAACGTGAGCGATTTTCCTGTCAGTACTGCGCAAGCCGCAGCGCGCATTGCGCGATCGCTACACGAATTGAACACGTCTCGGCAAGGCACCTTCTCAAATGCAAAGCACCCCGCAGGAAGCCAGGCAGACAGCCAATTTGGTGCCTGGACTCCTGGACATCTTGTCTCCCTACGATTCTGTCGAAATCCAGACGGTCACCTTGTGCGACCAATCTCCTGGAGAAGTAGAAACTTGGAACTGTCCTGCAAGTTCAAGGGCGGATGCTCTGGCAAAACAATAAATTGCTCGATCTTTCGATAATGACCGGACCCTTGAACACAACTGGACATGCAGTTGCACCCATGGCAATGTATTCCGAAGTATTTGCTTGCTACAACGCGGCAACAATCTGTCGAAAATATGGACCTATGTGTGCAGGTTGCAGTCTTTCTATTGGGCAGGCCACCAAGCCACTAAGCTGCGCAGCTTGCCGCTTCAAAGCTGACATTGGATGGCCTGAAGCCAAAAAAGTAGAACCAAAGGCTCCACTGCGGGGCAGCTAGCTGCTAGCCCGGACATTCGGGCTGAAGCGCTGTTCAGAGCCCCGCGCAGTGCAGAGAGCCCCAAGACTTCCAGGCATGCTACAAAACATCTTGCGCATGCCCACCTTATCTCAGGGAAGTGTTGCCTGAAAACACGCCCATAAGACTCATGGCCAACATGTTCTGGCACTTACTATATATAATTGATGGTTCTTGAACCCCATGGGCTTGAATAAACTGTCTGAAATTGGGCACTGCCACATAGGGGACCCTGCACATGTCACAAGTAAGCAAAAGATCGGAGCTGCTCCTTGCAGCCCGGTACAGGCATAGCACATGGCCAGTTGCAGCCATGCCCTGCCTCGCCACATCCGCGACTTCCCGCGTGTAGCCAAATGAGCCATCCAAACGGACTGTGCAGCCCATCAAAGTGGGGCGCACTCCGCGAACCAAACGCCAACCCGTGTCTTGACCAAAGCGCATCCCTCCCGCCCGTGCAGGCCAAGCATAATTTCCTGTGGCACGAGTAACGCAAACCCTCGGCCCTAAGTGAGGCTTTAGCTGGCCATGGTTCGCGGTCCGCAGCATGCATGGTGCAGGGTGTTACGGCCGTTGCGGTCTGCCCAGGTATGCCCTGCTCAGACAACAGGAATGCATTCAGCACTTGAGCTGCCCTCTTCAAACAGGATGGAACGCGCATGTGGTGCAAGCTTCGGAAGGGGCCAAACACTTGCCAAAACCTATGTGAGCCCAAGCTGAATTGAAGTTGGCAATCGCTGCTGATTTGTTCAGGCTTTTCAATGAATCAACAATGCTGCGCAACAGCCCGCTGGCAGGGATTCAAAAAGCAAGAATTCAGCGAATTCAAATCAACATGAATCATGAAACATAATATACCTGATCCCTTGGCCTCCAATGATCCAAATGTCGTCAGGCAGCGTGGCAGCCGTGACCAAATGTGTCACACCCCAGCGCGAAACAATGGGAGCACGCCCAGCTCCCGGCCCCCGTAACAGGACTTGGACCTTCGAGCAATTGTTCTGGCAATGGCACGTGGCACCCAGACCAGGCTTGGGGGCTGGGAGTCGAGCTCTTGGCCCCGACTTGTGCCTTGCAGGACGCTGCCAAGGGTCCCAAAGCATCCCAGTCCATTGCCCAAATCAAAGGATTGCCCCGTTCACGGGGCCCCAACCAGAGCGCGCAACGGGCCTTTTGTTCAACGGGTTTGGCACCAAAGAAACAAATAAAGCGCCGTCTCAAGTCTTGGGCTGGCCCATCTGCTCCTTTCGACTCTTAGGCTGGGAATTGTCATAGGTCCGATGTCCTGCACACATGGAGTCCACCCCAGCTAATGCAAACAGCACATGGCAAGGCGTCTCGCACGCCGCGTCAAATCATTCCGTGACGACAGTTCTGAGCCACTGGCAACGCCCTGCAAGCACAGCCGAGTTCCGTGACTAGCTCAGCAAGGCATGGATTCAAAAAGCCCAACTGCGCGTGCCTGCTCCTCAATGACTTCCATCAGCAACACTCAATGTGGAAATAATACAAGGTTACAAACGAGTCAAACAAGCCATTAAATTCAATGAACTACAAAGGGACCACTCTTTGCGTGAGAACGCCTTTTGGGCATGTGCTGACCCTACTAACCATATGAGCATTCAAGTCACAATTGCTCCAGCATACCCAGTTCCCCAAAAGCGTGCTGGCATGTGCTGGCCCCTGCAATACCTACTGCTAGATTCTGTGCAAACTGCCGTTTGATGATCTTGCCATTCCATAGCCAGCGAGCGGCTTACTGAAGGGAGCGAGAAGTGCCCAGAGTACTGCGTTACTTTTTCGGTACATCGAGCTGCTCTCCGCTTCAAATGTTGATCTTTCAGCATGACCATACGGGGTCATCAAAACCCAGTCTGCAGATACATGCCCTGCACATATATGTTCCTTTGCATGCCACATCTGCCTTGGCATCACTCCTTCTAATTAATGCTCCCAACACACAACATGCGATGAGCACTGTGGGTCCCACGATCGCAGCCGGTTGCTCGTCTTGAGATCGAATCAAAGGGTTCTCAAGTTGGATGGGCAGTGGTTGCCTGGTTGCCTGCGGGGTTGCCTACGATGTGCCGGGCAGTTTGCGCAATCTGCCCTCCCAACTTGAGATCCCCACGCGCCGCGGAGTCGCAGTTCCAAGCAAAAGAAGGCAAAGGCGGAGTCTTTCACATCTGGTATAGAACTGTGCGACCCAGCGGCTTTGCGACATCAACAGCAATTGTGCAGCGATTTTGAGATCATTGGCCGTCCGAGCAGCCTCACAACAAGCGTAGTGGAGCTGAGGTGAAGCTTGTCTTTGGTTTTCCCATCCTGGATTCCTCAGAAACTGCTTCGGACAGCATTGCTTTGTCTGGGCAACGCCCCCATATGCTTCGCATGGCATGAATTCGACCACAAGGAACGGTGCAGCTGGCCAGATCATCCTTTATCTGGCCGGATGGCGCTTTCCACAGTGTCTGAATGACTCGGTGGCGTGCAGGCAAAATTGCAGCTGGCTGAGGCTCAGAACCTGACACTTGGCTCAACACCCTTCCCCAAGCTCTGACTGAAGTTTGTTCCCCTTGCCTGAACAAGGAACCAAGCAATCGCACGTCGGACTGGTGAGTTGCTTAGATCTGCTCAGTCCAGCAGGGTGACAACACATCTGAGCCAGTAAAAAACATCACTTCTTTGCTCTTCTAACATATGGCCCATAAAACCATGTTCAAAAAGCCTTGCCACAGTCAATTGCAAAGCGGCAATGTTCAACCTGTTGCTCACCTCGGGGTTCGAAAGGAACTGCAAAGGTTTGCGGGCTAGACCCCTTGAAAGTCGTTGAGAATGCAAAACAATACAGTAGATGGGGGGCTGCCCTTCCGTTCATGATTAAGAAACAGGTTGCAAATATCTGAAGATCATGGCGTCCTGAAGAAATCCGTACGGTTGCCTTTCACGTGTGGCAGTATTGCACGGTTCTCTTGCTAACACGGTCTTTTGGGTTGTGACCTGTTCAGCTGTCAAAGTCCAGCGGGGCATCCAAGCTGCCCAAATCCCGGCAGTTTGTACCAGCCTGTTCAGGACTTGGCTTGCTCTTTCTTGCCTGGCAACAGAGCTCAGCTGCAGAGAGAGTTCCATGGTCAAATTGTAAGTGCCAATCTGCCTCTTGAAGGGCGTGGCCAGTCTGCCTTACCTGAAACTTACGGCAACCAAGTCAAGTTATCAGGGCAACCAATTTGTGTCAAGCTCCTTTTGCCCTTTCCTCCCCTTTCCTACCCTTTCCTGAGAGTGCTGCGCCCTTGCCTTCATCCAGCTCTTTGTTGTCGGTGGGAGTCGAGGCCTCCGGCAGGTACCATCGACTTGAGCGCATGATAGCGCTGCACCAGGCGGCTTTCTACTATACACGCAGGCAATGGATTGGAAGCACCAAGGGCTGCGACGGACTGGCACAACTTGACAATCCTCAACTCCCAGCACGACGTTTGGCCAGGGTGCATTGGACACCTTCGCATCCTCCTTCAGCAGCGCGTCCTTGACCTCCGTGCCTTGGCCTGAGCTCCAGGTACGCATTTCAACTTGTATGCTGCATTGCTTTCTGCAAGTTGAAGGACTGTTTGGGTCGAAGACCGCTGGCCTGTGGGTGCAATTCATTGAGGTCACAGCTCCAGCCCTGAAAAACCTATGAAAATCAAACGTAAAACCTCAGCCAACCGACCCCAACTTGCAGCTTGGCGGCTCGACATCAAGGTCTTGTACCTGCGAGCGACTCGACCAACTTTCACTTGGCAGTTGAACTGAGAAGCTGGGTGCAGGACTTTGACAACACTTTGACTATGCGTTTAGTGTCCTAGGTTGAACCTCGAAAGTGATCCAAGCCTTGTGATGACCAAAACCAAGAACCCGAAACCCTTTTTGGGTTGAGCATCCTTCGTCTGAGTGGAGCCACCAAAGAGGGAAAAAAGACTGAACCACCGGGAATAGGTTTGCCACGGCGGAAAAAGCGACCTTCTGAGCCACAGACGCACCGCGCAAAATCTTGAAGAACCAGAAGTACTGCAAACCACCCTGGGCGAACATGGTCAATGCACAGCAACGGATTGAAATTGACAAGGGCGAAAAAAACGAGAAATGTCCAAAGCGCTTGCCACAAGCTTGATGGGAAAACAGTGAAACACAATGATTGGAGACATGAGCAAAGGCCTTGTGAGGGCAGGCAGGCATGCTAGCGATACGCATGTGTTTGCTAGGGTCATTCTGGGTGGAATGCATTGATTGGGGACTTCACTGACG